CACTAATATCCATGTCTGGTTTTTATTAATCATCCTGATTTCATCTTCCATTGCAGAGGTCCTTTTTGGATCATTTTTTGTTTCCCAAAAATCTGTAGGTTAAAAAATAGCTACATTGCATCTTTCATAAATATTAGATAATGATCTCATACCTCTAACAGGGGGTCATCAATTAACTCATTTTCTTTGAGTTCCAATGTTGGGGTTGGATCAAGAACCAAGGTAATTTGTTGCTTTGCATTCCAATCCCATGAATCATCCTCCATGAAATGCATATCTCTGCTTAATTGATTTTTCTTACTATGTGGTTGGAAAACTCTATAAGCCTTTGAGATTGTGCTATAACCGATGAAAACTCCTGCTTCTGCTCTTTTATCCAGCTTATCCTTTTTGTTTTGTGGAACATAAACAAAACAGGGACATCAAAATACTTTGAGATTTTTTAAGAAAGGTTTGAATCCATACCAAACTTCATGCGGAGTTTTGTCAGCTAAAGCTTTGATAGGCAGTCTATTAAGGAGAAATACGACAGCATGGGCTGCTTCTGCCCAATATTCCTTCAGCTAATTTTTCTCAAACATCAAGCATCTAGCCATCTCCATTATGGTACAATTTTTCCTCTCACTAACTCAATTTTGTTGTGGTGTGTATGGAGCAGTGAGTTGATGTTCAATTCCAGCCTCCTCACAAAAAATATTAAATTGATTGGAAGTATACTCCTTGCCATTATCAGATCTTAAGCTCCGAATTTTGCAACCACTTTGTGGTTCAATCCGTTGTTTTAATTTTTGAAACACACCAGGAACTTCATACTTCTATTTGAGGAAATAGATCCAACAAAATCTAGATAATCATCAATGAAGATCAAGAAATACTTACTTCAATTTAGTGATGGAGTTTTGTGAGGTGCGGTTAAATCTGTGTGTATCAACCGTAGCTTCTCAGTAGCTCTCCAAGTAGCTTTCTTGAAAGGAAGTCGTGATTGTTTTCCCAATTGAAAAATTTTGCAATTTGGAATTTTAGATTCAAGATCAGGAAGACCTTGAGCCAAATCCTTTGCCTTCAAATTCAGCACTGCTTTGTGGTTGAAATGTCCAAGCCTTTTGTACCAAACTTCTGCATTTGATTTTTTTGCAAAAAAGGAATTTTTCTCCTACTTTAAAGGATCAAGTGCAAAGCTTTTTCCATCCATTTTTACTTTGAAGAGATCATTACCTTTTGCATCCCTTATTATACAACAATTATCTGCAAATATCACCTTGAAACCATTATGAATCAACTAGGCAACACTCAACAGATTTTGGTTGAGCTTTGGTACATACAATACATCATGTATAAACCTTGTACATGAGGTGGTTTCAATCACCATAGTTCCTTGTCCTTCAGATGCAATATGTTCTCCATTGCCAACCTTCACCACCGAAAATACAGTGGTATCCAATTTCTTGAAGAGATCTCGATCAAAGGTCATGTGGTTGTTACAACCACTATCGATGAGTCACTTCTCACTCAAATGACATGTTGAGAAACAAGAGGCAACAAAGAGCTGTTCTTTTTCTTGATCGGTTGTTTGAGCGGCATTCATGTGTTGAGTGTCACTTTTGCAGATTCTCTAATGATAACCCTTTTTATTGCAATTCTCACACTTTTGATCTGGTCGTTTCCAGCACTTGAAAGGTGGATGCCCCTTTTCTCCACAATGATTGCAAGGGGAAAATTTAGACGGCTGGTCTGGCCGTTTCCAGCACTTAAAGGGTGGATGTCCCTTTTTTCCACAATGTTTGGAAGGAGGTAAACCTAGGCTTAGTACCCTTTAGTGTATTGCAAGAATCAAAATTTGAGTTTCCTTTCTTAGCTTGAGTGCTCTGATTTTTTGCAACTAATGCCCCTTCAACTGATTCTTCAAATCCCATCAACCTTCTTTGTTCTTGTGATTGCAGTGCTTGTGTCAATTCTGTCAAGCTCATTCTTGACATATCTTTAGTATTTTCAATTGAAGATATAGTGGCTTCAAACCTTTCAGGAACAGTTACTAGAATTTTTTGAACTATTCGGGAATCTTAAAGTTGAGAGCCAAGAAGTCTTACTTTGTTTGCAATTCCGAGCATTCGGTCAGAGTACTCTTTCACAGTTTCAGATTCTTTTCTCCTTTGAAGCTCGAACTCTCTCGTATGGTTAATAACTTTCATTCTTTTGATTTTTTCATCTCCTTCGTATTCTTTTTTCATAAATTCCCAGACTTCATAGGCTGACTTCAATGTCATGATTTTGACAAAAATTTCTTGTGAGACAGGGGAAAAGAGTGTTGCCTTTGCCTTTGACTTTCTTGTTTTCTTCTGAGTGTGATTCCAGATTTGCGCTATAGTTGGATTTTCAGGTAGTTGAGGAACTTCGTGGTCCTCTTCTACTGTTTCCTATAAATCATTTGCCTCCAAATGAACCTGTATGCGTGCAGCCCAGATTTGGTATCCTTCCTTGTTGAACACAGGCGGTGCCGGCACAGTGAAGACAACTTCTGAATCCATAGTGACTCCGAGTCGATCAAAGGTCCTTTTAGAAGAAGGCTCTGATACCATATTGTTGGTATGTTTTAGGAATTGGAAGGAGAAATAAAATTGAGAAACTGAAACTGGATCTCACATTTATTCGCTTGAGGAGAGGCTTTAAAAGATAGCAATAAAATTGAATCACTAACTACTTCCTAAAAGCTAGGAACAACCCTAAGTTATTTGATTTAGTCCACAATTTTAAAAACTGAAACATAAATAAAATAAAGAAAATAAAGTTGCCGCAAACTAAAGCACAATTTCAACACAGTCCATAATCATAAAGTATTTTTGATCCACTGCAACAATGTTATGTGTCTCATACTATGCTTCATTAGTATTTGCACCCAATTCGCCCATACACAATTGCAAATATGTTAGATTCTATCACCTGTATGGAAACATAAGTTTTTATATATTTTTCAAATAAACAAAACAATTACAAGGGAAGGGGTTACAATCACTCATCTTCTAGCACTATGTTTGCAGATTAAATGATTTTGTTGTATATCTACTATAGTTAAAATTCTATTGCAAAAGAAGTAATGTTATTGCAATTATTTATTTTATAATGATTTATTATTCCATCCTATTATAAAGCAAATTAAATCAATATTAAAGTTTACCAAATGTGGAGTATTGAGTAACAGTAATTTTAATTTAAAAATGCTTCTATTTTTTATAAAAGTTAATACAAACAATTTAATATAAAAATGCTTCTAAATTTTTTAAAATTTAATACAAACAAGTATAAAATATTTGTTTAGAAACATAAACCAAAAGACCATTTGAAAAAGTAATCCAAACGAGACCTTAAAATATTAGGTGTGTGTATTCACTTAAAAATTTTTGTAAAAAAAAAAAAAATAAAAGAAAATTTGACAGGTGAGAAGCTAGGTAAAACTCATCAAAAAAATGCGAATATGATCTATTTTAAATTAATGAGAAACGTGTAATGAGCTTATACTATTAAATCACTGAAAATAAGCAAATGAATAACTATGCTTAGGATATAATTTAAATCTAGTTAGAAAAGCAATATATGTTTTGATGAACTTCGAATTTATATATAAAAATCTCAACTACGTTCGTAGTTAGCCAAATAATAATCTCATTCAGATTGTATATCTATTGTCTAGAAACCATTCAAATGAAATCTATCTATTGTCAAGAAATCATTCAAATGAAATTATGTAGCCATTGCATTATATCATTTGTATTGTATGTTTCTAGCATCGTATGAATACAACTTAAAAGTCATGTCTTTAAAATAATGAACAATTTCATAATTTACTTTTACAGGGAGTAAATAACTTGTAACCAATCTTATATATCTATGCTATATTAAAGTGAGCTGATTAGTAATTTGAATTCAACATGTTAGGATTTTGAGAATTCAACATGTTAGGATTAGTAATTTGAATTCAACATGATTAGAAAATATAGTTTTTCTATAATTTTCAAATAAAACAAACTATATTACAAGAGAATGTGGTTAGAACAATCAAACATCTTATATCATCATATTTGCATATTAAGATGCTATTAGGTATCTATTGAGGTTTCTTTCTTTTTAAAAAGAGTAATGTTATTACATATATTTATCATTTAATCCTACTTTGAAACAATTAAAATAATATTATAATTTACCAAATGTGCAGTATTAAGCGTAAAATATACCAAATGCAGAGACACAAGGCTACCAAAGTGAAATGTTGACTGATAAATTCTTGGCATTCCCTTATATTTCAATTCATGTAACCAATTTTATATATCTATGCTATATTAAAGTAAGCAGATTAGATAATTTGAACTCAACCTGTTAGGATTTTTAGAAAAGAAAATATACATATAATAAATTAAATGTATCGGTGATATCACCTATATAAGCAGATTATATGTTCCTTTTTTAGAATACATAACCCAATACTTAATCATACTGACTTTGTAATAATTGGCAAAGTCAATCTACAATCACATTGCAACTTTGACCCATTGATGAAATCCTAGGGTGTCTTGTCACCCTTCACAAATTGCAAACATGGCATATTGTTACATTTCGTTGTATCACTTGCAAGAAAACATTTATATAGTTTTCAAAAGCAAACTATTACAAGAAAAGGCGGTTAGAACATCAAACATCTTCTAACACTATGTTTGCATATTAAGATGATATTGGGTATCTACTAAGGTTGACTTTCTATTGAAAAAAGAGTAATGTCATTACAATAATTGATTTATCATTTAATCCTAATATAAACCATTTAAAACAATATTAGAATTTACCAAATGTGGAGTATTGAGCGTGGAATATACCAAATGTGGAGACACAAGGCTGCGGATGTGAAACATTCTCTGATACATTCTAGGCATTCCTTTATACTTCAATTCCTTGAAGCTTTTATTACAAGTACCATATGCAACCAAACATTCTCCTAAATACTCCAAAATGACTTATCCACTCTCCAAGATGCCCAACACCTTCACCATTTTCTTTCCAAACCTTTTCCGCCAAATATGGTGTGTTGTCTCAATATGCCTAACCAGTGACCACGGAAAGTTAATACATATGGAGTACTCATTCACCCATGACTCATCCACCCCATACTCTCTCATAACCCATACATCAAATGCATCACGGTCTATCATTGGCACTGAAGCACAAAGGCGTTTGTCCAATATTGCCAAATGACTGATAATCCATCTATCAAACATATAATTAAAATCGGAACAAGGACAAGCCATTTCATCAATTGTGTCATCAACCAACTTGTATGACACAATCAAGCGCTTGTGGCATTGCCAGTTGGGCTTCTTCACCCATAGGTCACCCAATGAAGCCTATTGTTCACTAAAACTCCTGGAGATGACCATGTCTCTAATGTGTAGGGAACAATCCCGTTATCTGTCCAACTGTTTCTATGTAGACTATACACCTTGATTACCAATGGTAAAGGTCGTATAAGCTCTCTATACTCATCCTTAAGATGATGACTATACTTGTCCCAGCAATATGAAATCTTCACAACTTTATAGTCGCAACCAACATGATCAAATCCAAATCCATGGATAAAAATTTGGCCACAATTCTCACGTTTAATGGGAATCTCAAAGTACTCCCTTGTGAAGAGATTGTAGATATAAGTATGCTCTGGGAATAGAGAATCGATTAGATAAACTAGACCATTGGATGAACCGATGATGCTTAATTCTGGCATGGAAGAGGCAAATGGGGTTTCAAGTTTGTACACTTTCTGGTCTGAAAGGTGAAGAAAATAAATGTGGGTTTTAATGGGGTTCTTAGAATGAAGGATTAGGTAGGAACTTTCAGATCTAGAGAGGTGTAGTTTGACAAGAAGAGGATCAGCGGAAATGGGGTATAGGGTTTTGCAGGTAAAGGTAAATTGAATTACAGATCTGACGGGGAGTCTAGAGGGGATTTCCACGATGGTTTCATGGGGCAACTTATAGAAGGGGTTGATGGAGCTAAGGTTCATTTTTTGTTTCTTTATTAGAGAATCCATTGATGGTTTGGGAATTACGGTTTTTTTTTTTCAGCTTAAGAAGAAAAGAATAAAGTAGACATTGGAGAACATGTGACACGACATTTTAAACAAGAAGATGAATAAGAAATATCTTAGAAATAAAAATCTCAACAAAAATAAATTAATGTTTCCTTAAAAAAGAATTGTCATTCTAGTCACGCGCACAAAATCCACGACAAATAAAGTAAAGTCGCTTCAGTTATAGTCCTAATTGGGTCAAATTAGCACTATGTTGATTTGACTCAGTCAATACATATATATATAAGACAGACCACGGATATCTGACAGCATAGGATAATAAAATATACAATACATATTTTAACAACACATAATATAATTTCATGTAGCACAACATATTATTTATTTCAGCATTGTAGATATATTTATACAACACAATATAATATATAACGTACACAATACATATTTTTATATGATATAATATATTGTTGTGGTATATAAAAATATAATCTTTCTTCTGTATATATGCTAACTCATTCAAATCAGCACAATACTTTTGTACTTTAATATTAAACCAAATTGGTCAAGATGTTTGCAATAATATCATAAAAAAAATTCAAATATGTGGAGGAAGTTTGCAAATTTATGCGATATTTTCTTAGATATTATTTTATCTCCTTTTATTTCTAAAAATAAGTAATATAATTAGTAAGAAAAAATGAAACTCTCTTATAGGGAATATATTATATAATAGATATTGGTTTTGGAGAATAGAGTTGTTTATTTCATTCAAAAATTAACACATAAATTTGTAAATAGGGGCAATATAGTCAATATCTAAATACTAAATAATATAAATATATATACTAGCATCTCCCCTCAAACTCAAGGTGGTGTTGTAGACATCAACTTGAGTTTGCGTAGAAGTACATGAAAATGACCCGGAAGAAGAGATTTGGTGAAGAGATTTGTTGGTTGATCCTTCGTGAAAATTGTATGCAACGGATGAGTCTTGGCAACCACGTGTTGCAAAATGAAACTCGATCTTAATGTGCTTCATGCTCTCGTGTAAGACATTACTATGCGCAATCTCTATGGAACTCTAATTGTCGCAATGAAGAGTAACAAACACAAGATGGGGGCACCAAGATCAGACAGTAACTAACAAAGCCATGGATGTTTGGATATAGAATCAGCAAGAGCATGATACTCGGACTCAACACAAGACTTGGAGACAAAAAACTAGAGAGTCACCAAGGAAGGACAAAAACCAGTAGTAGATCAACGATTATTAGGATCACCTGCCCAATTTGCATCAGAGTAGCCTGCAAGAACGAAGGACGAGTGAGTTGAAAAATAAAAACCATGAAGAAGCATATCCTTAACATAACAAATAATACGGAGAATTGTGTGCGTTGATAGTGCAACAAGGACTGTCAAAGCATATAGCCAAATTTATAATGGGAAGTCTAGACACCTAGGTGTTAGACATAGTATGATTAGTGAAATTATCACAAATGGGGTAATTTTGGTTGCATTCGTTCGGTCACAACATAATCTAGCTGACACTTTGACAAAAGGACTGCTAGGGACTTAGTGCAGAAGTTGTCTATTGAGATGGGTTTAAAAACCATTTAAATTTGCTAAGGGTAAGACACCCAATTCCCTCTTGATACAACGTTAGGAGATAAATTCAATGTGGAAAGCTCACATTTAGTAGATTGGAGAGCATAATGTTTATGCATCCCGAGGTGTGCGTTCGGACCTGCAAGAAATTTAGGTTGAGATTTAATCTCTTAATAGTTCCTTTGAGAAATTTCCGTGCAGGGCCGAGACTAAAAGGAGTTACATATACAAGTATGAAATTTTTCCACTTTAAGAAAGTTATGGAATTGCTTTTGATGTACTCGTGAACGGATAGGGACGCATGGCTTGTAACGTGTCAAGTGAACTCATGGAAACTGTAAATTCATGTTTACTTTACCTTCGTGAAAAAAGAGTTCGAACATTAAGCAATGGAATCAAACAACCGATTGGTATTTGCAAATATTGTAAAGCTGAGATTCCTGCTATTCATGGAAGTACAAGTGGGTTGAAAAATCATTTGGTGAGAAGATGTAAAATAAGTCCATTGTACGAAGGAATTGGAAAGGAAGAAAAACAATGTGTTATGACAAATAAGTCTCTAGGAATTCGGCAAGGAAATTCATTAGTTTCACACTCCTTCAATAAAAAACCGTGTGTATTGGACCTTTTTTTCTTATTGAATATAGTAACATTTTTTTTTTTATTATTGAAAATTTCATTGCTAATAGTAAATTTTTTTTTTTTTTTTGCAAAAAATGTGTGCATTGAAGCTTGTTGAATATGTGATTAGTGATAAAGTATTCTTCCGAGCAGTTGAAGGAAAGAGATTCATAAATTTTGTACATGAGCTACAACCAAGATTCAGGCTCCCTGGTCGATGAAAGGTTGCAGGTATGATTTATTATTTATTATTAGAGGAGAAATCTAAACTGAAACTTGCAATAAATGGTCAAAGAGTGAGTATCACGACTGATACTTGGACTTCCATTCAAAATATTAACTATATGGTGATCACGGCTCACTTTATAGATAGTGAAGAAAAATTGTACAAGCGAATTGTTAGTTTCACTAAAATTACCTGCCATTTTAGAGATGAGATTGGAAAAATGGTTGAAGTCTGTTTGAGAGAATGGGGGATAGAAAAAGTTTTTTCAATAGTAGTTGATAATGCATTTTCTAATGACACTGCTATTGAATATTTGAAAAGAAGACTGAAAATGGAAAATATGTTGATGTTTGAAGGAACATATTTACATTTGAGTTGTTCGTGTCATATTCTTAACTTAATTGTTAAAGATGGTTTGAAAGAAATAAATATTTCGATTAAATCAATCAGGAATGCAGTTAATTTTATTCATTCTTCACCTGCAAGATTGAATAAAATTAGGGAGTTTGGAGTTCTAACCAAGTTTTCTAGCGTATCAACAGTGCCCCTGGATGTGAAAACTCGTTGGAATGCAACTTATAAGATGCTTGATGTTGCATTGAAGTATCGGAGGGTGTTTGATAGGATGGTGGAAGAATGGGTGTCTTTATGAATTATTTTTTTGAAAAGAATAAAAAAGGCAAAGAAATAGTAGGGCCACCAAATGAGAAAGATTGGGAGAATGCAAAGGCCTTTACATACTTTTTGAAGAAGTTCTATGATGCTACATTGGAATTAAGTGCATCCAAAACGTTAACTTTTCAATTGATTTAGCAATCATTAATTGCCCTCCAGGTTGAAATTGAAAAAATGTGCAATGATCTTTCAGATCCAACACTTAGAAAAGTTGCAAATGCAATGAAGTTGAAATTTGATAAGTATTGAAGGGGTTGGGATAACATGAATCATTTGATTTTTATTGCCAATGTTTAGGACCCAAGAAACAAACTCCAAGTGATTAAAGCGCGCATTAAGATATTGAAAGGAAGTTCTCAAAAGATTCAAGAAGTTGTTGATATTGTTAAGAATAATTTGATAGTTTTGTGGATGGAATATATGAGAATGAATGAAACTTCAATTGATGGGACATAATATGGAGATAGAGTGCAGTAATGAAGATGGTTTTTTCGGCGCGGTGGTGGTGCTGGCCTTTGTGATGAATTATTTAAATGTGTGAATGCACAAAATGAAGAATATCATCTTGAAGAGATATCCAATGAAGTGGACAAATATTTGGCAGATGATATTGAGAAATGATTTAATCCATGTGTCAATCTATTAGAGTGGTGGAATGGAAGTGAAACTAAGTATCCTATTCTTTCAACTATTACTAAGGATATTTTTGCAATTCCAGGTTCAACGGTGGCTAGTGAGTCCATTTTTAGTTTGGAAAAACGAGTTGTAGATCCTTTTAGAAGTAATTTAAGTTCTAAAATTGTAGAAGCATTGGTGTACACTAGTGATTGGTTGAAAGCCGATGAGATAAGCTTCTATAAGGATCCAACCGATGATGATCTAGAATTTTACAAGAAAATTGAAGAAATCGAAATGCGTAAGAAATTCAATTAGTATTATTATGTTTAAGTAATTTTAATTTAAAATTATTTATGTTTGTCCAATGTATTAATAAAATTTTGTCTCTTTTTATAGGTACAAAAATATTCAAGATCATTCTTTAACTTTGATTTCGGCCCAAGAAAGTTCATCTCCCTAATAAACTTGTAAGTCTTGTAATTTTTATTTATTAAGCCTATTAAAATATTTTGATATATCATGATGAAAATTTTCATGTATTGTTCTTAGGTGTTGGTGATGACCATGATAGCAAGTTGAAATATTTAAGTGTTGTTTTTTCAAGGTAAGTGATTTCCTTATTTGCAAAATAAGTGATTTTATTTTTAATTCATTTCACTATAATATAAAGTTCGATTGAGCTATTATTTTTAATTTATTTTAATTCTTTTAGCTGCTATTTTTGATTCATTCAGATGTTATTTTAATCATTGGAGTTGACTTGTGAAGAAACATATTCAGATTTAGCATTGGTTTGTCAGTTATTGAAGTTATATTTTCAAATTTTGAATTAGATGCTCAAGTTGTAATTTTAATTTTATTTTTTATTTGGATATTTCATTTTATTTTTGGAGTTCAGGTGAGGAAAATGTTGAGGCAATTGAAGAGATTATGGTCGAAAACTCGAATGAGGCTGAAATTTCTTCAAGTTTCGAAGATATTTTGTTTTTCTTTCCAAATATTTGACTATGGTCGAATGCGAATTTTATATGGAATGACCGAATTGGATTGATTTGTGGTGTTTGAATTGAAATTGTTGAATGCGTTTGGAATTACTGAATGAGATTGTAATGATATTGCAGTGATGGAATTGATTTATGATGTTGGGAAGACATATTTATTTTTTTTTTAGTTATTTGATTGTATTGATTAATTATACTTTAAGATTGTTTATGTATTGTTTTTAAAAAAATCAATTTTTTTATGATATATTTCG